TGTTTCCTTAATTCCCCGCTCAATGTCATCTTTCCTTTTCGTCTGTAGGACTCATTCGAATGGTGTTGTATGACGGTTCCACGTCTTTTCTTTGTCCATCCTAACCTTGAAGTAATAGCTTCGGATTAGCTCAATATTACCTCACATTCTCACTCTTACAGTCAATCTCCACTCTTTATTGCTCGTCAGCCAAAAGCAAAGCGGAGGGTGGGGAGACATGTCTGTTACTTGCGAACACAAACTCAGCTCATGTTTAGTGTGTGATCCAATATCTTCATTGATTCATCACTGATAAATCACCAACCCCTCATGGTTAGTGTATCCAAATGGAAGTGTGTACTACTTGCGCAGGAGTTAGAGAAGGTGTGCTGGGAAGCACAAGGTTGGTGGTTCGAGTCCAGGCTGCCCCATGTTCCATGTCAAAGTGTCCCTGAGCAAACACCTAACCCCTAATTGCTCCCTGGGCAAAAATGTGAAAAGGTTTAAAGTGTAATGTAAGTCGCTTTGGATAAAAGCGTCTGCTAAATGACATGTAATGCAAAGCAGTGGGGGTCTGTGTGACACCAGTTAGTTGTTTAGGGCCTCGTCTGCTTTGGGGTTTGCATGAGGGGTGGAGGTGAGCTGGACCCTCTGGTTCTGCCTGCATTGGACGGGAAGGCCGTGGAGCAGCTGCACTGAACTGCTGAATGTTAGTTGGACATATTCTAGATCAATGACCATTCTGTCCGCATAAGTAGCATTCATCTCCTCTTCCCCTTTGGTTTCCACGTCCTCTGCCAGCCGCTTGGTGCAGACACATCTCTTATCCTCTTTTTTGAGGGCTCTCTTATTACTCATTCTATCTAAACGGCTGCTCCCACATGAGCCGTGGTGGTTTCTTGGTTTCTTGCTGCCTCAGTCTCCCTCCACACCTTGCGCCTGTCTTCACCCACTGGCGGTGACTCTGTTGGGAACACACCTGCCATCTTTCCAAATATCTCTTCATCCTACTCCACTCCCTTTCTCTGTCCTTGGCCTCCGTCTGATCCTCCATCCACTCTCTGGCCCTACCCAGCAATTCCTGAGTCGTAAGCGCAGCCATCATGCAACCTGAAGTACTCTAAACAAGCCTCTGAGCGGTCCCTTCTGACCTAGGAGTTACTCTGTCACTGACATGAGGAAACTGCAAATCATGTAAATTAAGTCCAAACTGATGGAACCTACAAAAAGTTTGAATTGTCAACTGAAATCAGCAACGCAAAGTAAACTACTGGATCTGAAAGGGAAACAGTCAATGAAAGTCAAAGTAATAACTACAATACAGATCAAAACGCTATCAGGATAGTTTAATGTAATAACTAATATCTAACATCACACACTACAATTCTAGACTAAACATTTCTACTTGTACTATAATTGATATCACTAGGTGTGCACTTCTACTTAAATCCGTAACATAACCGCTGACATCCTCCTCCTGACATCAACTCCTGCGTCCTCCTTGTATGAAGGAGAATCAGTGACTCTTCACTGTCGACATGGAGACCAGAGAAAGGAGAAGAATGCTGACTTCTACAAAGACAAAACACTTATTGAGATGGACACGAACCATAAACACACACATGAAATCACCATTTCTCTGATGTCTGATGGAAACTCTTACAAGTGCAGATTTAAGGACGAAGAATCTGAAATAGAATATTTGAAATGTGAGATTAGTTACTATGTTTAAAGACATTGTACACAAACACCAGTTTAACACATGAAGACAGATAAAAAGATGGAGGACATCAGCAGTGACAGTAATCCACCAAGGACTCATCATAACACGTCTTTATTCTGTCAAACCTCTTTCACACAGATCCTCGTCTTGTCCTCACAGTGTCTCCATCATCGACGAGTCCTGGAGACTCAGTGACTCTGACCTGCAGTGTTGAACCTCCGTCTGCAGGATGGAGGTTCTTCTGGTATAAGGCTGTTCCACAACTGTCACGCTACTACACCCATGAGCTTCTAGCTGGTGGCACCACTGGGACTGAACAGGATTCCTACATTCTTCATGGACAGACACACACAGCAGGATATGTGTGCAGAGCTGGAAGAGGAGATCCTGTGTCTTACACTGAGTATAGTTATGTGAAGTTTGTCTGGTCTGGAGGTGAGTTTGTTCAGACTTTTATATTCTTGCACAAGGGAATAAATGTCCTTTTTGTGTTGACATTGTTTGTCCTGTGTGTGTCTCCTAATGATGTGTCTTCAGGTGTGAATCCAGCAGCGTCTCTCACAGTGAGTCCTCACAGACTGCAGCACTTCAGCACAGAGTCACTGTCACTGATCTGTGAGGGAAACTCTGCTGAGTGGAGAGTGATGAAGGTTGATGAAGATGGTGACGTGTCATCATGTTATTACTGGGGAGAAATGACTGGATCCACATGCAACACCGACACTAGAGCGAGTAGTGGAGTGTACTGGTGTGAGTCTGAAACACAGTTCAGCAATGCAGCCAACATCACTATACACAGTGAGTTTATATTCATTTAAAGGTTTTTATATCTAAAGTATTTACACATCTTATTACAGAGTGCTGACATTTTTAAGGTGACTTCATGATGAGTTTACCTCAATATTTATTTCAACAAACGACTCAACAATCATAGTTTGTTGCAGCATCTTTCTGTTGGGTGGTGTAGTCGGTGGATCCAAATACACACTCACAGCAGTTCTAGTTCAATCAACTGATTTTATTCACCAACCAAATTGTGAAGAGAATAAAACAAGGCAAAGAAGAACATGAGGAGCTCCTCAGGCTCTACTGGAGTCGGGAGGGAAACTCCACCGACATCTCGCGGTCTGGAGGGATTGAGCAGAGGTCTGACACCTTAAGCAGAGTCCGCTGAACTGATAACGGTGCATTCTGTGGTCCAACGAGGGTCTGAGGCTGAAGGGCAGAGGAAAACAGAAACATGCAGACAGGTGGAGGGTAAATTGATAGAGAGACCAACGGCACCTGAGACCAGCGTGTGAACTGGACGGACTGATGACTGTCACCGTTTGGCTTTGTTTCCTGTTTTATTTAGTGGTTTCCTGTCTTCCCCTGTGATTGTCTGCCGTGTGCCTGATTGTTTCCACCGGTGTCCAATCACCTGCACCTTCCCAGTGTATTTAAGCAATGTGTTTCTCTTAAGTAAGACATACATTCTATGACGCGACTGGGAACAAGTTAATCCATGAAATGCAGCTATTCGCTCAGCTACTGTGTGAATGTGAATAACAAATGTAAACTATAAATGTCTTCTCCTCATTGTTCATCAGCTTGTTTGACTTCCTGTCCTCTGGTCTATTTACAGGTGGTGATGTCATCCTGGTGAGTCCTGTCCGTCCTGTGACTGAGGGACATTTCGTCACTCTTGGCTGCAAGTTGAGGACAGAAAACCTTCTTTATAATGTGGATTTCTATAAAAATGACAAACTCATCCCAAATCTGTCAGAGGGAGCTGCTTATCTCTGCAGTACTAAGTCAGATGAAGCTTTTATAAATGTAGAGGAAGGAAATCACTCAAGGTTTGGAGACTTTGACCTCAGCAGAGAGCTGGTTGTCAGTGAAATGTGAGTACGAGTTTTGTAACATGTGTTACAGTCTGAGTGAGAAAAGGTGTCACTGAATTAGAAGTTATCTTAAGATAAACTATTTGTTTGTGTGAGACAATATATTAGTAATATATAATAGTACTTGTGTGTAGTACGGCACTACAACACATTAGTACCTGTGTTCGGTCATTTTTTACTTTGTTTTAAGTATGTTTTTCTGGCTCTGTGACACTCTGAGATCTGTTGATGAAGAGTGTGTTATAAATAAACTGTATTATTATTGTTACTTGTGTATCTCTTCATGGTTGGTGTGTACTTGTGTGTAGATCCTGAAGAAGCAGCATCAAGCTCTGTGTTTCTCGTGCCGTTGGTTGTTGGTCTGGTTTCTGGAGTTTTACTGATTATTCTCCTGCTGCTGTTTCTGCGTCGCTACAGAAAGTCAGAAGGTGAGATCTTTTCCTTCTGATATCAGACTGATTTCACTGAAATAAGTCAAAGTCACAGATATTATTACACACACTAATTAATGATCAATGTGAAACCTTTTTCTTGCAGCTTCAAGCCTCAGCAGGTTGGTACAAGCCTCTCTTCTCTCACTCTGAACATGGCAGCAGGACTTTACATGTTCCTCATTAAATCCTCTGTATTTACTTCATGTTTTGGACCCACAAGGTCTCAGAGGACCAATCAGAGCCCAGCTACAGACCACATGATCAACCAGGGTGAAACTCAAGACGGACATTACGCTTCTCTTCTTCCTGGTCAGCTTTAATCCTCATCACACAGCTGTTAGAAATACTAGAATTAGATGATTCAAAGTCAATGCAAACTGTCTTGAATCAAACAAGATTTATAATTTCAGATGAATCCAGCCTCCCGTATTCTGTGGTTGAGCTCAAACACCTTAAAAAGAAGGGTAGGTGATTTACTTTGTATAGTGAGAATCACCTTTGACAGCTGAGATGATTTTGTTCTTCTCATCAAAGTTCTTCATGTGGTCTTTGTGACAGAGAAGCACGATGAACCAGACGAGAGCCCCGTTTACTCGGATGTGAGGATCCCATCAGCTGCAGGTACAGTCAACGCCAACACAGCTTCTAGTATTTAACAGGTGCTACCTGCTCTAGTTTAATACGTTCATACGTCGTCCAACGTGGCCAATGTCAACAATATACACATCCTGCATACAAGTACACAACAAAGTACACAACAGACTTTAGACCGAAATTTGTTGGTCATTTAAATTATTTGTTAATTAGAAATGATGACAATACTGTGCAGTCGTGAATCAAACATAAGGGGGGATGCCATATTTAATTTATTTATTTTTCATTTTCATATTTATTTTTCTTATTTTGTGTTTTACATCTCTGAGGACGACGTATATCAGTACATTATTTATTTAAACTAGAGCACTACTGGTAAACATGCAAAAATAAGATCTTTTCATTGGTAGGAAAATCCAGATGTGCAGCAGAAGAGGAAACTCTTCTCCTCCTCTATTCTGAAGTCAAACCAGGAACATCTGGTAATGAAGCCGTTTATCAAGCAGATTATTTCACATAATTAAACGTCATAAAGCACCTATGAGCTCATCTTAAATAACCGTTATTGTTTTTTTTCTTTATTTCTCCTCCAGATCAATAAAGACGTCCGTGTGGACAAAACCACCGACATGAAAAACAATCTCTTCAGGATATAAGATGTGTCCTTAAACAGCTACAGAGCAGACAGCTTGGTGTTCTGTGGAAGCCTCTTCCCTTGTTGTAGTCTGCTTTGGATGGATGAGGTTCTGGTTAAAAAGGATCATGTGATCTTTGCAGGTTTCTTCATCGTATCCAGAGAGGTAGAGTCCAAAAAAAGAGCGTTGATCTTTCTTTCCCCGATACGCTAGCAAACTCACAGCAAAGACTCATCGCTCAGCGTGTAAATGATGCGTTTCTGTAGTTTGTGCTGTCAAAGCTATTATGGGAACTCTGGATTATTTAACCAGATGAAAGTGTATCTTTCTGAATATTAAAAAATGCAGATTTATCTCCCATTCTACATTATGAGGGTTGTTTTAATCACAGCTGTGGGTCAATAAAGCGAACCAATGACTTAATGTCTGAACATGTTTGTTGTGGAATGAAAATCCAAGCTGCCTATTCTCTGGTGGTATTTCCTTGTGCCTACATTACCCAGAATGCAACCTGACCATTCACAGTTCTGTTGGAGAGGTGTTGTGCTATTAGATGCTAATGCTAATGTAGCCTTGAGCTGCTCAAGCAGAGATGAGAAGAAGGTTCAGTAAATGTGAGCAAATCCTTTTCAACAACCTCACGTGTGTTTACTCGTTCTCTTTATGTAGCGTAAAAGGGAACGTCACAAAATCAACACAGAAATTCAAATATTAAAAAAACGAGGAGTGACAGACTTTTTATTTTAAAGCAAAACGTAAGATAACGAATGATGACTTTGCAAACTGGGAAACACAAAGTAGAGTAAAGTTGATGGATGGGAGTAAGAAGTGATGCTTTGGCGGCTTTCTAACACGACGCTACTTTATCTGCTGGAGTAACAAGAGAAACTGCATTGAAAAAATACACACAAAGGGAAATGTCAAGAGCAGAATGTTATAAATATCTTTCCCCATAAATATTGCTGAAAAGGCAACAGAAAATGGCTTTAAACATCCAGATCTGAGCTGATATTTAAGAACAATAAGCAAACAGCAGTATTGTGTGTGTGATCGTTCATGCTAAACTAAGTCAATAAATAAATAAATACATACATCCATAAGGTTCAGTACCTATTACTTCAAATCCTTTTCTCATGCATTATTAGTAAAAATAATCATTCAGTACGTAAGGAGGTAAAAAGTCATCCAACACAAATAACCAGTGGCTCCTTATTAAAAGATCCCAGAGTTTCAATGAGCTTTTTGGGGCGACTGGAGCAAACTCCTAAAAATTCCCTCATCTGACCAAACGGCCGCTTTCTGGAATCTGGAGACACGGACGAAACTCGAGTACCGTTCAGCCTGTGGGGAAACCTTCTGCATCACCGCATCGAGATGACGAAGAGGTGACGCACGTAATGGAGGGAGGTTTTGGATCAGGTGAAAGAGAGAGACATCACTTCAACATGGCGGCCAGACGAGACGTCCAAATGCATAATAGATTTTAACAATCAGCAGCGGTCTTCGTGTCCCCGCTTGCTCCCAACAAAGTTGAGGAAAGCGATCGAGTTCAGTTCCTTTGTGTCAGTGCAGTTTAGCTTCGTTGTTCCCTATATTAC